ATTTAAAATGAGCTGTTAAGCTGAAAGCTGAGGGATGAAGGGCTTTGGTCTCTTAGAGTAAGTGAAAAGGGAGATTTGATTTTTAGGACCAATGAAAGTGCTGCTGTTAGGTTTGTTTGGTTATCTACAGGGCATTTGAAACTTGTATGGAAATGAAAAATTTAAAACCCAATGTGAATTCTTTGTTTTGTGTTTATGTGGGTGGTAAATCTGCAAAAAGATCTATAAAAGGGATAAATAATAAATGACCAGTGAGATTTGCTGTTACAAGGTTATTTAGCTCATTAAATTAAAATAGCCAAGAGCTGCACAGTGATGTCACAATATATGTTGTGAATGAGCTGTAAAATGACAAATGAAATTCAGTATTAGTAAATATAAAGTAGTATGTGTGGGAGAATGTACATGAAGGTGTGGGAGCAACGTTGCTATATGTACTGTGAAATGTTATATGTACTGTGAAAGTTCTCTTTTTTCCTGAACTACAGTGGTATGAATTACAGTGGTTAGGACTGATAGTATTAGAAGAGCAGGTCTATTTCCAGTACAGTCTAAAAGTTAAACAACGTTAGGAATTACTGAAACAGCAGTAGCAAGGAAAACAGAAAAAGAATTCTTATGACTTTGAGTGAATCTGGTGTTTTCACGTCTTGAAGAGTGTGTACTCTTTGGGTGCTTTGAAAAGATGTTAAAACTAGAAAAAGTACACAAATGAATGACAAGTGTGATCAAAGTTGTAGAATCATTTATTTATTGGAAGAACTTAAAAAAAAAACGCTCTTCTGCAGACTTGTGTGAGGGTACAATAGAAGTGTATATAGAACTACAGGTGGGCCTTGGAGAAGACTGAAGGTTTATTCACTGTTTATTGTTATATGGAAATAAAGGGATATCATTTCAGACAGATTTTGTAAATTAAGGAGAAGGAGTGCTTTTTCTATAGAGTGTAACTGACTTGTGTCAATCATTGCTATAGGACAATGTTGATGACAAAAGTATGTGTCTGTTCAGAGAGAAATCTCAGTAAAGATATGTCAGTCCATCTGTGCATCTGTCCCTCCATAAAGTAATGCTTGCAGCCTTTGGTTTAAAAAAAAAAAAAGTGTAGATTGCCAGAAATTGGAAAGTGTTTTGCCATTGTTTTGTTCTTTCTCTACTTTTATTTTGCTATAAAATATGTAAATCTTTAGTCTGGTCTGCTATGGTTGCTCTAACATTCACCTTAAATGAGTCAAAACAGTCAGGGTACCTTTGTTCTGTTCCTGTGTACGTTATGTAGGTCAAACATAAATAACTCTTAGTTTGGTACTTCCCCATTTCAGGCTGTGTCTCTGGAAATGAAGTATTGATGCAATTTTCTAACTAGGTTTGAATATCAACTTTTTAGTGGGACAGGCTGAACTCAAACTTATGAGAATCCATAAAACACTCTGGTAGAGCATTGTCAGCTAGATTTGGGATCTGAATACAAGATATAGGTATTCTTTTCAGCAGTAATCTTCAGCCCATGAGTTGCATACAAACTGCCACTATTACCTGCCATGCTCCTTGGATAAGGGAGTGGAGGGGGAGGAGCCAGAACAAGGTTTCAGCTATAGCTTGTAGTGACTGATAGCAGCTGCAAGTTGGGCTCTTTGCTGTTTGGCTGGTGGAAAACAGTGAGCCTGCTGCTGATTTACTCCGTTTTCTCTTTGGAGGAAAAAAAAAAAAAAAGAGAGAGAGCTTTTTTCAGCAGGGACCAGTGAGTAACCCGCAAAAACTAGAAAAACGTTTCTTCCACAGCTAAAAGTCTACTTATTTGAAGACAGGTGATATAGATAGAGAAACTCTAGGTGAAAGCTAGACAAAAAGACTCAAAAAACAGCTAGAATTTGCTGAGTTGTATTAAATCCTTTTGCTAATGCATAGATGTCTAGTGGCAAGGAAGTAGACAATGCAAGTTCTTAGAAAAAGCATTTCTGCTTTCCCAGTTGAGAATTTGGTGGAACAGACTTCTTAAAAACACTGTCTAGAAAGTGCTACAGTAAAAGCTAAAATACTACGGATAGTGAAGTATTACTGTGATGAAGTGAAAACTAAATATTTTAGCCCTGTAGGACGCCATTTTGGCAATAGTTGATTAAAAACTTTTTTTATGTCACTAACTAACAATGTCTACTTCTAGTACCTGGTAATTTTACTATTTGCAGGTGTCAGTTTGTCTATGGCTCAGCTGTCTGCTCGAAAAAAAGCTGGGTTTGTTGAAACTTTAAGCATCAGAATTTGTCTGATTCATCAGTTGAGAAAGTGAAGTAACAGGCAACTCAGCTGATAGACTAGAGCGGTACAGTAACCTCCCAGGAGAGTAGTGGTGAGGTGAGGAAGGGTGATCTCTTCAGCTTAATAGTGATGCAGCTGTAAGACATGTGACAAACCTCTTAAATATAGAGGCTGAGCTTGGTAACTAGAGAAGAGCAATCTTCAGTTTTCCATCATGGTGATTGTAAGACCTCAGGTAGATGATCCACAAAACTCTTGGGCTATTTCACAGTACTGAAGAAAGCCTGTCGACTGTTCTAAATATGTAAACAAATTGACAAAATTGGAGTACACTAGAAGTAATTAATGAAGGTTCAAGGCTTAGCTCAGTTCTTTCATTGTAAATGAAAGCCATCCACTGAACAGCAGCGCTATTCAAGACTGCCCTTTTTTTTTTAATTCTCCCCTCACCCCTGCTAAAGGGTGGGTGGCCCTTCAGCTACTTAAAAATGGGTCTGCATTGTGACAGGCATATGGCAGTGAATTAAAAATGAATAGATCATGCTGTCACCGCTGCCAAAACTTAGTTTGCTTTGCCCTTATATGCTGAGCTGAAAATTGTGTTGGATTTGTACTGATTCACAAGCAGGTCACAAATTTCTGCCCTGCTGTTTGTCAGAGAGGTGTGGTTGCTACAACTGTACAATTTAATCTACTGTTGCGCATCTGGCAATCTCCTTTAAAAAATGTTTTCATATGGGCTATAAGTATCTCAATTAACCTTTTTGGTGTTTAAAATTCATCTGTAGTCTGCAACGATTACAGCAATCTGTTAGAATCAAAGTGAAATAGCCTTATGTTGAAATCAATAGAGCTAACCGCTTTGTCTAGCACAGTCAGTGCTAGTGAAATGTGCTACACTGGCATGTATAGTAAGAAACCTTTTTTATTTTTATATTTTTTGGTACTTCTAAGGGGTAGTGGCTAAAAGAACCCGTAATCATCTATCTAAAATTATTTTTGCATCCTCATTATTTTGGCGTTGCTTTACTACTACAAGGAGTTCTCTAAATTTTTGGTTGCAACTGAGATTAATGTTAAATATGCAGCGAAAGTGATGTCTGACTACTGCATTCTTGTTAAGTTAATCTATTTGGAACAACTGATGTTTCTGATAGGCAGTGAGAGGCTCAAAAAAAAATAATGCAAGTTATTTATTGTTGTTATAGTTCCTTATTCAGATCCATAAGGTATCAAAAATGAGATCAAAAGGAATCTCTACTGGCTGTGCATAGCAAGATTCCTGATTTGAAGTAACACTGATATAATAGGTGGTACAATTGGAATGTGCATGTGTTGGACACCTTTTCCAGGACTGCAGTAAGCTTACATACATTTGAATTACTTTGTTTTGTATTATTTATAATTTTGCTTTTTATTAAAGCATTCTAACTTGAAAAGCTTAATCTGAGGCTAATTTCAAAGTGGTCCTTTATTTAGATTTACATCTTAATTTTTGAGAGGCAAATACAGTTGCTGTTGTGTGAGGAATGAGGAACTCTACATAGTACGTTCTGACCATTATGTCTTCTCAAGGTTTAAAGTGGTTTGCAATTTAAAGAACCCCAAACTAGGGTTGCCCCTGCAATGCAAATCAAACTGTCTTCTACATACAAATATAGCTGTCCTTACTGCATAACAAAAAGCTTTATTTACCACCATTGAATGGATAGTTCTCCAAAGTTTTCATTTTAAAGGTTAGGTTAGACCTTTATGCTTGCCATCTGTTTGAACAGAAGACTTTTTTTCTCCTTACAGAGCTGTGAATTCATCTACATCTTAATATTGTGACATAGAGTAGGTTTTTTCCTTCCTATATGCTAGAAACTGAGGCGCAGTAGCCAGGACTGTCATGCATCCACTAACTTGAATTCAGAAGCTTCCTCAGTATTGCAGAGGTATTCCTTGAGGAGTGAGAGCTCAGTTTTGTTGAGCCGAGATCAGAGTTTCTTTTTCTGCAGTTCCTTGCCTGATTCGCTTAAACCTACAACTTCTGCAACCAATAGTGTAAGTATAGGAGTCTAACAGATGAAAGGCTTACTTGCTTTCAGAGAACTTATTCTAAATGGAGAAGGAAGTGTACAATGAACTTTATTCTTGTGCTAGATGTACATGTGTTGAATGGATAACATTAATTTGTTCTGTTTTTCTAACATGCAGTTTCCTCTTCCCCCCTCTTCAACCTCTTCTTCAACCACAGCAAAAGCCAAACAAAAGAAAAAAACAAAAATGCTTAAATTTCCTCTTGGGTTACGTTGGTATTCTAGAATTAATTATTAGTGTTGAAGCCTTTGTGCTTACTGTATGGGTTTCTACTATTTAAACTCAGTGACTCACAGTGTTAGTAACTGGTTCCCTTCTCCATAGAGCAGTGAGAGAAGGAGGTTACCCCTTTTTTGTTGGATTTCATAAGCTGTGAGCTTCAAGTAGAGAAGCATAGGCTCAGCTTCTAAACGCTGAGCAGGAAGTGTGTTGTCTGATGATCAAGACCTAATGCCTATCTGTAACTACCCTCATCTTTCCCTTGCTCTTCTCTCTCTCTCTCATTGCTCCTGCAACAGTCTTGCAGTTCGTGTCTTCCAGCCAAGTTTCTCTGTTTTGTTCTGTTGTATGTAAGTGAGCTCTTTGAGACAACATAGGAGAAGCAGTTTTTGTTCTCCACTTCTATATCTGTGAGCAAAGTGAGATTTTCCTCTAGCCTCATGGTTTTTTTGGAAATGGTTGAACTGTGTCTACACCAGCTGAATTTCTGCCTGAGGCAGGTTCATCAATACAGAAGGGAAAGTAAGTAACTATCTTTAAAACAGATAGTTTGTGTGTCTGTGGCAACAACAACTGTATGCTTCTAATGTTTTGGTGAACTCAAGATTGCAGAGGGTAAAGGAGAAGACTTAAAATATAGTCAACTCACTTCAGTCAGTAGTTTAACTGCAATTCAGTCGATTAATGTGGATTACTTTAAAACATTAGTAATTTGTGTGTGTATGTGCAGGCCAGAAGCGAGCTCCTAAACGGGGAGAACAGCAAGGATGGAATGACAACAGGGGAGCAGAAATAAAACAGGACAAATCTGAGTGGAGACCCTCTTTCAGGGAATACCGTTCCTATGAAACTGAAAGACAAGCGGAATTCACAGTAGAAAAGTATGTATCCTCTAAGGAGGTGTAAGGTGCCTCATAGAGAGTCTGCATAGAGGGGGGATGGGAAAGACGTTGAACTTCTTGAATAGATTTAGTAAGCAGAGATGACTTGAGGGCATAGTTGCATTATTAGTGAATAGATCCGATGTGCGATTACTGGGGCAGTTCACATCTGTCAGAGCTGTAACTTAAGCTTCCCTGCAGATTGATTTGGAGCTGCTTTTAATTTTGTGTTACGTTTGTAACACTTAACAAAAGTAATAACATCTGGAAACTTAACCCTTAGTCTTTAGCACAAATATTCTATTTCTGAATTCCCATAACTCCCAAGTTCTGCAGCACGTGTGGTGCAGATTCACGTTGGAATAGATTTTAGAGTTCAAACTCAAAATACACATTTGTCATCTGCCTACTGCTTGAACAATGAAAGCATGTCCATTTTACTTTCTCTGTAGGTAACAAAATAATTCCGTCTCAACTCTTAATACTTAAGAGTGTGACTTTTCTTGCCATCACAAAATTTGGCATCTTAAAATATCAGACCTTGTTAGTAGTTGCACGTAAATACGGGTTTGAATAGTGGGATTTTTGCCTAGTAAAGTCATCAAAAATATGACACTTTTAAAATGTCTTTTTTTTAATATTTTCACTGTTTTCAATAAACAACTGAAGTTCCTATTGGTGTTATACGTAACAGTTCCCTCTGTGTTCACTTTATGCCCATTTCTAATGACAAAACTACAACACAAATCTGACTAGAAAACTTCTTTTTAGACCAATTGAAAGATTTGACCGTGAAAGACCAATAAGAGGACGTGGAGGAGGAAGAGGTGGAACGCGGGGTAGAGGAAGAGGTGGTGGAATAAACAGAAGTTTTGATGGCTTTGACCAAAGAGGAAAACGGGAATTTGAAAGACAAAGTGGGAGTGATAAAACGTAAGTGTTTTCATGCGTTCGTTCCTATGCAGTGTACAAGTAAACAGTACACTCAGCACTTTAGTAGTATCTCTGAGTGTTCTGGCTCTGTCTTCTATACCCAAGTGAGTTGCCAAAAAGTCAGTATTGGCTTAATTTGAGGCTCTAATGGAAGAAAGAAGCTATTAAACTTAAAAAAACGCTGTTTCTCTCTTTAGAGGAGTGAGAGCAGACGACAAAAGGGGTGGAAGTGGAGCTCGCAACTGGGGAACAGTTAAAGATGATATGAGGTACAATATATACTTGTGCCCACCATAGATCATCATTTTCTGTGGAGTGGATATGTTCGTGGTTTCAAAGTTTCATGGGTATTTTAAGCTTTATTCCTCTTACTTTTTATTAATTGTTGTGATGAGCGTAGTTTTACAGTTTTCTGAACTTTCTCCTTCTTTGTGCTGGTGAGATGAAACGTAGCCGAAAGCATGGTGACATTCCTTGAATTAGGCTATGCCAAAATCTTCCTGACTGAGGCCAAGAAGTCACTTAACTAGAATAAATTACGACCCTTCCCCCTCCTCCAAATATTCATGTAGGTGGAACTGTGGTATCTATTGACATTGCTCCAATTCCAGTTAAGAACTGAAACCTTGTCAGTGGGCATAAGATCCATTCCCTTTTTCTCAAATCTTATGTAGCACGTCTAAGTTGTAGATGGAAAAGCTGTGATGCAATTCAAAGTAGTTCTGGAGATAATATTTAACTGATTATGCTACTGAAATACATTACAAAGCATATAAGAATCAGTGACAGAATTTGAAAGCTTATTATTGGTCAAATAGATTTTAAAAAGCCCCTCAATTCTTTATTTTTCTTACTGGCTTTTATTTGAGTTTGCAAAAAAAAACTCACTAGAAATCTGTTTTCTTCCATTCTTTGCACCTCAGAATATACTTTCAAAAGTTACTTTAAAGTAACTTCTTTTGGCTAAAGAAACTTTTCACAAGCCAGTTTTGATGAAGCTTAACTTTCTAAATGAAAGTTCTCTGTGGACAGAGAAAAGTCAGCTTCCAGCTTCCAGCAAAGATCTTTGGCCGCGTATACATTCATTTACAAAATCCTGCTTAGAAATATGATTTTGTGTTATAACTTAGTAACGTGACTTCAGGCAATCAAACAAGGCAATATTTGTCAATGTATGCTAGATTTCTTAAGATTTTCTGGCATAAAAGTTTCCTCCCCTAAAAGAATTTTTAGGCTAATAGTTTTGGTTTTTGATATTCCAAATTCTTCTGAAAGTTGCAAGTTCTTCTGAAAGTTTCAAAATGGGAATCGGCTATGCAAATACAATAACACAAAGAATCTAACCAATAGCACAGAAGTAGCTTGTGTAAATATACTTTTTAGGAAGTGTAAAGGAAGGTTTACACAAGGAAGACTGTGTAAACTTTACATAGAGTTCAAGAAAGTTAAGATTCCTTATTTTCCCTCCCTACTTAAAAGTTTTAGTTCAGTAGCATCAGCCTCATGGCTTATGAGATTGCAATGTCTTCTTGTATAACGTGATGAATCTGATAGAAGTGACGTTAATTGGGGTTGTCTAAACAGTTCTAAAGAGTCTTTGTTGTGCTTTGATTGTGCTTAATGATGCATTGAAGCTAAAACATATTAACTTTATGAAGTGTTTGCTTATTGGTGTAATGAAAATAAGTACTTTATTGCTCTTATTTGACAGTGAACTAATGTCAGTGTTACAGAAAATATATCAGCTTCAACATCAAGTATGAATTTTTCTGTTTTAATAGTTGAAAATAAAATATAAAAAAACAAAAGTCATTTTACTGTAATCAAGCATTGCCATTAGTTTTCATCATTGGAATATACTGTCTTCATGCATGCTTTTCACTTCTTTTGGGGGGAATAAAAGTACATAGAAATAGAGTTTTTCTAACACTTCTCATTTTTAGTCACTCATCTAGTCATTTAATAGACCCAGTTCCTTCTTATAACCCCAGAATTTTATCCCCCTCCCCTCCCCATCCCAAGAAATTATGCCTGGAGAAAGTGATGTATAGATCTGTAAGTTTGTTTTTCCCCAATGTTACCCATGAAGACTTCTTTTTTTTGTTGTTCTTTATTGTTTTAGTGAGATGGAACAGACTGCTCCAGTGGAAGAGACTGCAGAAACAGCTGAGCAGCCAGGGGCACCTGAAGGAGAACCTCTGAACAAGTATAGTCTGACTAAAATATTTTCTTTCTAAATGCAAAGGAAAAAAAAAAAACCTGTTACTGATATTCTTGACCTGTGTTGAAAGGTACACTTCTTGAAGTCTGAACTAGGAATTTTTGTTAGTGCAAATACTTAAAAATAGACAAACTTTCTCTATATTTCTGTATTACTCAACAAAATGAATCTCTAATTCTAAAGCATTTACATGCTACCCTAATAATAACACAGAAACTTAAAGTGTTGATACTCTTTTATGTGCAGAAGGTCTAGCTTAATTTAGACAACTGCAAGTTGCATTTGATTGATCAGTGATGCTTATGTTCCTAAGGTTTGATTATGACTACTGGGGGGCCTGCATATTGTCTGTTACCTGTTTAATCTGTGTAATTTATAAAAGCTGTCTTGCTTTTCTTAAGGTGCCCTAAAAGAAAAAGGTATTCAGGGTACCTGTGCAATCATAAAAACATTTAAAATACACTAACATAAACTCTCAAGGCAGTAATTGGTGAATTACTAATCTGTTATTCATGAGTGCCTTCTGTGGAGCTTAAAAACTAACTGGAAATGGTTTTGTGGTGAGCCTTAAAATCATAGGAAATGAGAGAGAAATCTGCCCCTCCTCTTCTGGCATTCATTGTTATCAGTGATCAGATGAGATAATTTACTTCAGATGAAATAAGCATTTTACCTTAAGAAAAAGTAACTGGACAATTCTGTCCAGTAAGAGACTTTAAAGAACAAGTTAATTGCTTATAATGAATGTCCCTTAAACAGTGAAGGAAGGTGAAATATGTTAGCTTTCTCTTTGGCTGTTTCAGGGACTTCTCCTCCAACCCCCTAATTGTGAAGCTGTGCTTATTGGTTGCCTTGGTTCATTTTTAATTCAAAAGTTATAGCACTTAGAAGCATACAAAACCTTTTTTATGTTCAAACTGTACAACTCCCTAAAAGATTATGTTGATCTAACTTTGACTTTTTTATTTGAGACTATTCTTATTAACTTACAGCTGAAAGTTATTATACATGGGGGAGATATCTGTCTTTGGAATGGAATGAAGGGTATTGCATTTGCAGAACTGTTTAGCTTGAATGAGATGGGTAGTGTAGATAATCTGTCAAAATTGCTCTGTATTGGTTAACTTAGCCAAATATTAAAATAGCTCTTCAGCTTTTTTTAAAAAAAATTATGATGTCATTATTCATTTCAGAGAGCTGTATCAGTTTCCACTTCATGGTAGCTGAAATCATACCCAGCAATTCAAGCTCTTTGCAAACGTGTCCTGACATCAGTTCCATGTGGAACATAGGATCTGAGAAGTATACTTAGTACCAAAGGCATCTAGCAGAATCTGCCAGTTGGCTTTAGTTCCTTTTACTTTCTCAAAGGTCACTAGGTATTTAGACAGACAGTGAGCTGTGCTGAATGAATATTCCTTTTTATGTTTTTAAAAAAAGCTTATTATAGAAATAGTCCACTGAAATCTGTAGGAGTCAAAAATGCAAGTAACCTACATGGTGCAAACTTCTGTGTACTATTTTAGTGCTGTAAATATCCTGAAGAATCTCAAATCTGTATACAAAATAAGTGCAAATTTTATATACTTCATTGCAGTTGCTTCTGGGGTTAGTGTCAGCTTGATGACTGTGTACTTTAAAGAGAGGATTTTGTGCTGACTAGTGCCTATATAATTAGGGATGGTTGTACGGAATACTCCGTAACAAGCTGGAACTAAGTTTTTTTCTGTTTGGTTGGTTTTTTTATTCTGTTAATACTTAAAGGCAGAAGCTGGTGGAATACAGTTTTCAGGCATGATATGCTTAAAAAGGAATTTTAAAGTCTTATCCATTTAAGTTGCCCCTGCTCTCCAGAGTTGTTGTCTTCTGGCAGGTAGCGTACCACCAAAAGTTTCTAGCTGGGCTACTTCCTGTTCTCTCTACAGCCTCAAGAGTATGTGTGTGTGGTGTTTTTTTTGTTGTTGTTTTTTGTTGCTTGTTTTGTTTTTAAGCTGCTGCTAGGATTATTCTCATTTTGACTATTCTTCTATTCTTAAAGGCAGCAACTCCAGGGAGTGTTTCTCTTCTACTGCTTAGTTGTAGTTGTGTGCTTGTATTGAGATAAGAGATGAAAAACTTATTTTTTTCCACTGCGTATATGTTTTTGTTTTTTTCTTCTCCCTCTTATAACTGCATCTGTTTTTAAAAAGAAATTAGGAGTAGTCTCTTGGACTGTGTGGAGCTACTGTATAGCTTTCCTGTGTTGTACTGGCTAGCTTCAAAGTGCAACTCTACAAAGATATCGGGAAACTTCTATAAGCTACTGGCTCTTGCCTTTAGGACTGTGTCCGCGTTGCCGTTCTTGAACTTCCACTTGCAAAGTGACGCCGGGCAACAGTTTATTCTATCCTTGCATAATGTAAACAAAGTTATCACTTCCAAGATCTTCAGATTCTCTTGACTCTTCAGCAACATCTCTTTGCTGTTTGTAGCATCTCAAACTGCATACTTTTTTTTTCTGCAAGTAATAAGTATAAAGTAATACTAGTTCAGATGTCCTCACAGCTGCTTGAGTTTCTGTTGGACTTGTCTTCATAAATAGGTTTGTGTTGCCTGGTACTTCAAATGAATAGATTCCCTCCTCCACAGTGTGACAGGGTCTAATCAATTTCTTATCAAAGGTATTTGCGGAGTTAGTATTTACTCTGTGGGTTTTTTTTTCCATCTCTTGACACAGGTGCTTGCTTCTTTTTAGTGGATCTATGTATTCTTCATGAAGGTCATTTAATAGGAGGCTTTCAAAGTCTATCTTCAAATTTGCTGACATATTTACCTGTCTATTGCCTTTGTAAAAGTGATATAAGGCTATCATTATGCTGGACCAAATCTTTAAGTATTTGGCTCTGTTTTTCATCTGTAGTTAGCTTGTACTGTTGTAGCGTGATCTTATTTTACCTTATGTAACTTTGGAGTTTCTTAAACTAGTAGTTTAAGCCACGGTTAAGAGCCATGGCTTCTGTAAATGATATGTAATGGGAAAGATTCATGTAATAGCAAATTCATATTCAGCTTTCATCAAGAAAGCATTGTGCAGCTAAGTGATGGAAAAATCTGATCAGAAAAAAACGCAGTATCAGTACTTTTAATGTCATGAATATAACTAGCTGAACAGCTGAACTGAATGCCATTCTTTCGGTCCTCATTTCTGTACATTACTATGTTCGTGTGGAACGATTCCTGGAAGAAAGATATGCATAGTAAACAATGCATAGTTTAAGGATTATAGTCATCCATTAAAAACACCGAAGCAGTGGGAACCATTACTAAAAACTCCCAGTTTGACGTTTTGGTATATATTTGCATTGTGAATACAATTTCCGCATGTCCAGAGGCCATGCTTAGATATTTGGCACTATTTCGTAAACGTGATTGTTGGTGTGCCAAAGAGCAGGTCAACTTGATTGATGAAAATGTACAACTAGCAGCTACTAAAATTGAGTAGGGTTAGAGGATGGAAAGTAACTCACAGAGTGCACTTCTAGGCAGATTCTATGCCCAAAATACCTTGCTATAATCAGGTCTCTATCCAAAATGTGATACACAAGTTCCCATTGCTGTGTCTTGCTAGAGGGAGATGTTTCCCCTTGGATGCTCAGTCTTGTAAAACAAATTTCTTCTGCTAATAACCTAGCAGTTGAAACCATCCTTTCAAGTAAAAATAAAATCATACTTTCAAGTTGAGAAACCAGAAATTTGCAATGTAGGCTCTGCAGCGTTTCCTTTGCAACAGGAATTTTTTTTTTTTGGTAAACATATACTTGTTTAAATAACACTTGTTATGGCTACATAGTAAAATGTCTTCTGTTGTACTATGATCGTAGGAAACTAGGCCTGAAAGGGGTCCTCCTGACCCAGGGCAGGACCAGCTATACCTGTACCACTCTTAATTCCTGTCCTCTAGTGATAGTTTTCAGTGTCCCTTGATGACCTTTCTGATGTTTGCCTATGCTTTAGCATCAGAAACTACTGTGGTGGTGTTTCTTTTCCCCTCCCCTCTCCCAAATATGTTAATCACCATGGATATACAAAATAGATTTTTGTCTTTTTAGCAATACGTGTGTTTTCCTCCTCAGCTCCTCCTCAAAGACTTTCCTTATAGGACATGTATTTTAAACCTCATATCTGTCTTGTTGTTCTCTTCTGGACTGTCTTGACGGTTCCCACTTGGCACTGACTGGAATATATTACTCAGCTGAGACATGGTGTAATCCTTCCACTCTACTAGGCAATGAAGCCTGTTCCGAACAAAGGTCCTGTTGAGGCATGTCCTTATAATGTTACACTGTTTCAAAAAGGGCAAGTGCTGTTGATTTTAAAGTACAGTTTGACTAAGTTACCTGCAATAATGGTTTGGGGGTGCATAAGGGGGTTCCTTCAGAGGTTCTACCTTGCTAATGGTTCTTCATTCTGTGTTTAGGCAGCTGATACTTTTGCCCAAGTATTTCTGCTTGTCCTTGGGCCTTGCATCCTGTTTTTATTATTTTTAACTACTTATTTGGGCTCTTCAGGATCTCATAACACTCAGTCAGTGCTTTAGTGTTCTTCAATACATGCACTATTGCCCTTTCCTTTCCTGAGTTTTGTACTATAGAAAATGTAGTGAACATATTACCTATTACGCTGCGAATACTGAACAGAGCTGATCTTAAAGCTCTGCTCAGATACCCATTTTTCTTATGTAATTTTAGAAATTGATAGCTACTTCCCATTCTGTGTTGCAGCGAGGTTTGTATCTTCCTACAGCGCTCATCAAGGGCTGAAACTGTCTCCCTAACATGATGAGAATTTCATGGGAGACAAGCTCAAAAGCCTTCCTAAAGTTCAGATATCTAACTTACTGATTTTTCTCTTGTCAGAGTGGCTGTTGCTTTGTTTTTAGGTAAAAGTTAGACTGATTTGATAAAACCACTTTTTATTAGGGTAGGGTTTTTTTGGATGCTTGTGAATAACTTTGTTTTTTCTAACAAATATTCCCATAACTGAAGCTTTAGATAACTGGCCTAAAACTATCTGGTTTCTTCCTCTTCAGAATGACAAATTGAAGTGTTTGAGGTGCAAGCATTTCTTAATGTTCTTGCATATGGAACAGGATCTGTTGGTCTCCTTCTGAAAGTAGTTGTGTCTTTCACCAGTATCCTTTTCATTTAACTCAGTAAATGAGTTAATCTTTTTTCCTGATAGTCCTTGTAATGATATAGGGTCAGATCTTCTTAGTCAGCATGGAATTACAAACTGTTTACCAATTGTCTTAATTTTCAATTTTTTTACACTTGAAACTTTCTAAATAACAGGGTTTGAAGACATGCTGGAGGGTAGACATATAGTACAGGGCTTGCATATTTTTGACTTACGCCTTTGTAATGAAGTTTACTTTAAAATGTGTTCTGAATTAGGCGAAAGCTAAAGCTCTGTTACTGTTCAGTTCAGTTCTGTGCTTTTGCCTGTCATACACTAGGTGCTTCAGGAAAATGATATGACCATCAGATAATAAGATGATTCTCTGCGAGATCAATTAGGGAAAGGGAATAAGCCTGTTCTTACATAGGCTAGTTCTAAATGTACAGACCATTCTTCCCAACAAATGAGTATGTTCTACTAGAGTGCTTGTACAACTTCAAAGACAAAATACACAGTTCACTGACTGTTACTTGTCTCTACATCTTTCCATGATGAAAACTAATTTCCAACTTGCATCTAGTTAGCTGCATATTTACACTGGAAAAATCTACTCTTTAAGATATGGCAGAGGAAAACTTGAACTCTGATCCTGCTGGAGAAATAAATTGGGAAAAACAGTGTTAGTGAAATACTTAGCCATCTTCAATTGTTATGCTTGGCAACAATAGTTGGGGGTGGGAGAAGGGAGAAACAGTTTCTCAAGTATCTGGGACTAATCCCTGCAAGGCTTCCTGTAGTTCATGGTATCTGATTTTGTTCTGCAACAAGAAGCAAATGTGATGATGACATGAGTTGTAATGTCTGCATCTGGCCCTGTTTAGTATGGAATAGCTTTCTGCAAGTATCCTTAAAAGGTTCACCTGTAGCTACTGGTCCTGGGCAAGATAATGATGGTCAGCATCAGAAAATGGTAGGAGGAAAGATTTTTAGTCTCATCCCATGTATCTCTGAACACAGACATACAACCAGTTTTTTTTTAACTGGTGAAAAAAATCCAAAGCAGAATCTGACATGCTCCTTATGTTTTCTTAGAACATGTCAGTGTTATTGCATTTTGTGTGACAAATTTGAACTTGGACCAGGGTTAATCTGTCTGTTTTTGGCAGGTGGTAAATACTATCTCCTTGCACTCCACTGCATCTGACAAAAGACATGAAAGAATCTTGTGAAGTTCGTGAAGGACCTACTAATAATGATCTAGAAGTTTCCATATATGGCTAGACCTTTTTAGAGGACTGAAAGTTGTACTGAAACTTGACTCCATCTCATATTGTCATGCTGCAGTCATTAAAACCTTGCAACTGGGTGTTTTAACCTGCTTGTGCCTGCATATATATATATATTATATATATATACATACACGTGTGTGTGTGTGTATATAAATAAATATATATATATATATATATGGGTTGTTGGTGTTTTTTGTTTATTTTTTTTAGTATGGCTGCATTGCTAGGAGTAGATCCACTGACAAAACAGTAGGGTTGAGAATATGCCAGATCGAAAGACAGTTTTTGTCCAGAATCCAGAGTGCTTGAACTTATGATATGACTGGAAAAATGCCAGAACTTATTACAGTAGATTGGAGACAGCATTTGTTCATGAGATTAGTTTCAAGCAGGCCATAAGTATATTTCCTACTTATAAAACTCACACCTCAAGTTAGTGTGGGGAATAAATAAAACTGGAGATAGGATAGCAGTTTAAGAAGCATTCCAAATGTTGTATTAAGTATCCTTTCTTTAGAGACTAGTGTTCTTGTTCATCTGGGCATGTTGCAAGCTAATGGTTTTTACTTTACAACTATAAACCTTTAGAGTTGCTGAAGGGGATCCAATGGAAGAAGTAGTTCAAGAAATGACGTTAGATGAGTGGAAAAATCTTCAGCAACAGAATCGACCAAAGCCTGAATTCAACATCCGGAAGCCAGAATCCACTGTTCCTTCCAAAGCAGTGGTGATTCACAAGTCAAAATATAGCGATGATGTAAGCATTGCCTCAGGAATTCTGTAAGCTCTGCTTTATGCCCAGGGTTAGGAAACTGTCTTCACTTTTTCTACTAGTTTTAGTATAATCTGAGCAGACTAGAAATCAGCATTCAAGCTTTGTTATTGCAGTCATATATGTGCCCACAAACTTGCCTTAGTTACCACCTATTCATTTTTCTTCTCTCAAATATTGCCCCTATTTTTTGTGCAAATATGTAATATATCAAATAATACTTATCTCAATTTGTTCTACCTTATAGTTCAGGCTTAGCAATATAAAATTTATGTCCTTGGCTGCTGCCACCTGTGTAGATCTCTGGTAACATCACTGGAGAAACTTGGTTTAATAAATACTTCTTATATTCTAACTTTGAATCATGTTTAGCATACTTGCCAGTATACACTTGCACATATATATTGAGAACTCTGATTTTTTTCATCTATTCGTCTGGATGCTAAGTATCCTTTTCCTCAGCTGTGTTGGATCCTAGCTTTCATTGTACACTTGGAGTGTATGATTTTTTTTTTTTTTTCAGTTTTAGGGTCCTGCTTCTTAGATGTAACTCTGGAGAGCTTGTTCCACAGGCATGTGCTTTTTTTCCTCCCTCCTCTCCCAAACTCTTGTTCCACCGTATTGCTGGTACTGACATTTCAGGGAGGAATTGTAGTTTATAGATGTAATTGGGAAGTGCTGGGGAGAGGGGGGAGGATTTACTCATAGTTTATTGCTTACTTAGATTTTAAGTTTTAGGGGTCACAGAAGTATTTGCATCTAGTCATAGCCTACCATGATGGAATTTTGATCCTTGGTTAAGGTCTGTGTGCATGTGTGCAATATATATTTTATCCTTTGTGTAGTTCAAATATTAACAGTCACACTCTACAGCTTTTTTTATAAGCCTTAATCACTTTTGATCAGAGTCTGTCCCTTGAAGCGCTCAAATACTGAAGTTACCTGTGTCCTTTTTAGCATGGCTTTTGATGGTCACAATTGCCATCACCCCATATCCCTTATCCCTTTACCAAGAAAAAAAAATCATGAATAGCTTTCACAGGCTCTGAAAGTGTATGCAAGGGTCTGAAAAATGCATGCCAACTTATTCTTTTTTGCTTCTAAACTTTCTTCCTTGGCAATATCAAGGGACCCTATTGAAATGAACTTAGAACAGGAGGTATAGGAATTGCATAACATGGACAAGTCAGATCACTGTATTAGACAGTTTATAAAATTACTGATTCATCAGTGCCTGGGATGAGTTTACATATATATTGGCATATTACCTCAATCCAGTGATGAGAAATAGTCTTATATCCACTAGCTCCTGTGGATGCACAGATTAAAAGCAGCAATAATCTCATAGCTACAAAGAAGTAGAGTAACAACAGATCAATTAATAGCTAAATGTAGCTACTGTGCTTTAGTGTGGCTTTTTAACCGTTACTTTGGGAGCATGGTAGAAATAAGAATTCTCTAGTCCCTTAGAAAACCTATAGATTGCTGAAAACTTTTTCATTATTATGGAGCTAATATAGAAGACTTTGTACTCAGGACTGTTTGAGCCAACAAAGTAGCAGCCCAGGCATCTGGGAAACTGATCGTCTTGCTTCTGTTCACATCCTGTGTAAGTTAAGGTCTGTCTCCTATTCCAGATATCATCTTGACTAATCTGCTGCTTAGTTTGCAACACAAACTTTGGGGAGGGAGAAAGGTTGTATGTGGAAGTTTTAGGCTTTAACCAGATATTCTTTTTAGTTGCAAAAAGAAGACTTTGAAGATGATTCTCATGTCTTTCGAAGAGCAGTGAATGATATAACCTCTCAACTGGATATTAATTTTGGGAGTCTCCCTCGCCCTGGCCGTGGATCAAGAGGAGCACGAGGTGGTCGGGGTCGTGGCAGACGAGCTGAGGAGACGGGGCCTCGGCCAGAAGTAGCGGTAATGGTGGTTTTGTTGTTGTTTTACTGCTTTTATTTTTTTTAGGGGATTATAAATTTCATTAGTCACAGGAGAATTATTTCTTATTCCCACCTCACAATACGTTAGCCTGGTTATACTGAGTTTCTGACCCATACTGAGTTACTTTAAAATTAAATTCCAGTTCAGCTTAGATAAGTAACACATAACTTTCAAAGGTCAGATTACTATTTACTCTAACAGTAACTAGAGGAAGGGATGCAATAAAGACTTGTTTCTGCAGTGAGTTTTTGTATCAATAGGGAAGTAATTAAAATGACTAAAGGCTTGTATGTTGTACAAGATATATCACTATAGTACTTTGATAACTGAGAGTGAAGTCAATGAATCTGGGACCTGATAGATGAAAACACAGGAGGTTAACAAGTATTTACTAAGCCAAAGACTATTAGATTGATTCCATGAAAATGATTTGACTTAAACAAAAAAACTTCCCTTGGCTTTTTCCTCCTAAGAGGAACAAGATCTGAAAGTGCTTGGCCATTTAAAAAACAATGTCTTTATTCTTCACGGTAATGCAAGGTCTCAATTTACTTTTGTCTGGCATGAGTAAAATACTTGCTTTAATTAAAAGTTTGGAACTTGAAGAATGGTATGGCATGATTTGATGCAGTTTGCTTCGTCTGAATGAGCGAGACCCTTTTCAGGTATCAGCACAGATTTTAAAACTGCAATCTAAATATATGCAGTAGCCTTAGAATGTAAAAAGCTAATAATGCACATTACGAAAAACCAGGGTTATGGGTGAGATTGAAAGGCTGACTTGCTTTGATTTTTTTTTTTTTTTTTCACTTCAGCATTGCAGATCTTGTAGTCTGACTCAGGCAGCATTAGAAACATGTTCACACCATAACAGTAGTGGTAGTCTTAACTTTCGAGATAAATATTTAGTATTTCTGTGAAAGTGAGGGATATACATCTTTAATTCAGATGACTAGAGGAATAGAACTCTCCCAAGGAGCGCAAAAAAAAAAAGCTGCCAGATGCTTTTGTGATGCATACAATTTTTATAAACAATCCTTTCTCACTTTATAGGTGCAAATTGTTGCTCCAAATCCAGATGACCCTGAGGATTTTCCTGCTTTAGCTTGAAGGAACTATCGTGAATGATGGTATCTCGAAGTAGCTTTGATGTAGCTGTGAAGAGACCAATTTTATGTTGCTGTGGAAAAAGAAAGTCTGAGTCTACAGGAAAAACTGATTTTGTTTTTTTCTTCTTGATGTGAAATGATTGCACCCCTTTGCTATTGGAGGGGGGTTCTGGAGATACCGGTAGACTGGGATTCTGTCACAGGTTCCGATGTCTGCTTCCGTTTATGGAAACTGTGTGAAGGCATCTGGTACTTTACTACAAGGATTTAAGTGAAGTTCAAGAGTACAGTGGTTAAAAAGTTTATATAGCAATTATATCAAGTATTCCAGGACAGCACAATGAAACATAAGCTGTACAACATGATCTGCAATTGGGACTCTAGCAAATCACTGTAGACACCTGAGAGTTGCTTTCTGTATTTCTTTGAGTGAAATGTACCTTTGCATATCTTACGCAGTTACAAATTGCAATTCTTTGGAGGCTGGCAAATAAAGGAAAGTGCTCATTGGTTTGGGTTTGAGGTGTTATTTTCACAAGTCAGAGTAGCAAATTGAAACTTTTGCTGTTTGGCTGTAGTCCAAAAAAATTAAACAGCAAATGTTGCTCACCCAAAACAGTGAACATCTCTCTAGATAGGAGTGATCTTAAAACTAAGACAGTGCAGGCACTTTCAACTGATAGCAGACTATCACAATCCTTGCTTCAGTAACAAGCAATTACTGCTTGTTACTGCAACTACTTTCAAGATGTTGAATAATTTTGATCTAAAGACAGAACCAAACTGCTAAGGAAGCTTTCTCTTTTAGCATGTAGTTGCTCCTGCTAAAAACGTCTCTTGTTTTATCAAGAAGTTTGTGTAACATTGAGGATGAAATAGAATGGTCCTTTTCTTGCAGCTTTAACATGATTTCCTACCTTGAGCCAGATACCCTAACTCTATCCCTGTCAAAAGGAATATTCAGAGTTGTTCTCAGGGACCTGAGAGAAACAAGCAAATTGTACCAGAAATTATAAGGGAAAGAAATGAGAGGAGGACTACGCCAGGCGTACTGGAAATGGCCATCGGCCACAAAGGAGTCTTCAAATTCCTGCTCAGCTTGGACTCTGTCAGTTTATTCATCCTGCTTTTCCAATATAGACTTTTCTCTGTTCCTGTTCTTTGCCTCACTTTGTTTTATACCATTTCTGAGCAATCTCCTTTGAGAGGAAATGGCAGATGACACTTGGGGCAGGGGAAAGCCTGTTGCTTTGCTTTGAAGTAAGTTCTAATAAGGGTATTTAGAAACTTAAAGTAATTCTTATCTCAGTGGTAAAGCTTTATGCGATTATGGTATAATCCCAGCAAAACCACTGTTTTTCTTTTCTCCTTTGCTTTTCTTTCTTTTTTTAATATGCTCCAAACAGTTCTGCAAAGTGGTGGAGCCCAAGGGGCACTTCTCCTGTTGTTAAATTCCACCATACGACAGTTTGCTGTAATACAAGATTTTAAATTGCAAAAGGAGCTCATTCTAATGGTGTAATGATAATCTGATAAACTGTAATAGAAAGAATGTGTGAAAGCAACCAAAGGTACTGGTGTTAGAGGAACCAATGCTGCTGTTTCTTGCATTACTGAACTGGATGATGTAAATGGCTATTTCACCTTGTAGGAGCAAGCTACTAATTGAAAGTATTGCAACTATTGTAACTTAAGATTTATCTGCTGTTGCTCTTTTAAGAAGTATCTGAGTCTTTCTCCCAAAAAGGGCAGTTTTCGTGATTATGAAATGTAAGTGATCCTGCTTATGGAGCTCTTAAATTTGTTTTGCTTGTTCTTCCCTGCCATGTCCCTATTTGCCAAGAGAGAAGGAAGAACAAGTCTGACTTTTTTTTTTTCCTCTTCCCTTATGTGTCACTTTTATTTTCCATCAGATTTTCAAGGCATGTGTTTTCTAGTTGTCTCTCTTCTTACTAACTTTTCTTTTTGCTAAGGAAAGTAATGAAGTACTTAAAAGCAAACCCTCCTTTTTCTACTCAGTCTGAAGCCTGCAGCTGATCCAGTTCTGACCCTTCTTTGGGAAGGTGTGAAAGGATCACCTGTATGTTCCAGATTTGTGCCTGCTGCTGCAAAGTTGCTATTTACTGATCTAACTTTGATCAGCTTTTTAAAACAGAATAACAAATAGGTTCTATGGGGACTGCTTTAAAGTGATTGTCAAAGTATATCTGTAAAATAAGCAGTTTGGTCAGCAGATTGTTTAAAAATCCTGCTTAAGGAAAAAAAAAAAAGTGGACTGGTTTTAAGACTTTGTTTAACCTGGGAAAATGGGGAAAAAAAATTTGGGGACGAGATTTAGGATAGTTGGTTACCACTTAATAAAGCAAGTGTGTCTTAGAATAGCTAGGTGTGATTTTTTTTTTTTTAGACACACTTGAGTATGCCTTGAGAGTTTCCCTGATTAATTTTGTCTAAATATAGAGAAGAAGTTATTAATTGTTAAATGGTAATAGTGCCTAGCCCTGAAAAATAAACACGTTATTAAACCTCAATGTTCTGTTATATCTGAGATTTAGATACCAAAATAGCTTTATCTGTTCTGCACATGTCTGCTGCTAACAGTGACTCCTGGTTTAACTTTACCTTTGCTCATGTAAACTAAATGGTAGTGTGTGTAAATGTATTTGCAAATGCTAGTAAAATATGGCATACATCTTAAAGAATGAATAGCACTGCAGATCTCAGTCATGCTACTCTTTAATGCACTCCTACAAGGTATTCTGCTGTTACAATTACTCTAGTCATCTAGGAAAAACTGCTGCATTTCAGTTTTGTGTTTTAGACTAATATTAGTTACCCTAAGCTTATATAGAAAGGATAGATAGCATACCAACACTCTGAGCTATAAATGGCATTATGTGGTGCAGCTGAAACATATGTGGTGTCATGGCATATGACTTCGCAAGGGTAGATTCCTATGAGACTGCCTTTCAAGGAAAGTAAAGGAGGGCTGTGTTTAATGTATGAAGATAAAAACACTCAATAGTAAATACCCTAGGAGAAAAATATAGTTGATAAATGGTAATATTAAGCTATCAGAACCACTGAAGCTGCTCGTGGGAGGTGATCTTCCAACTGTTACACTTTTTACATGTGAATACAGTACTAGGGGCTAGGCACGGCATTTCGGCTTAAAATAAAAAATCCACAGCCCTCAAATGCTTATGTCATTAAGATGTAATGCTGAAGCCATTCATACTTTTTTCCCTTTGAATTTTTTTTTCCCTTTGAATTTTCACAGGGACAGATGCAAATATATATACTTTTGTATATACTTATA